AGGTACCAAATTTAAATTCACAATGAATATTTATACGAACAACCGGATTTAAATCCAGATATCTATTTTATGCCTAGCATGATGCCATTATAGCTATGCCCTCTACAATTTCCTAAGAAACTGTTATATTTGACAGATTGTGAAATTAAAGAAAAATACACTAACTTGTAATGATATAAAAAAGCTTATCCAAAATCAGGCCCAGATTAAGATCCTACCATCATGCCAGGACGACCAATCTCTGGATTGGCATTTGATTCAGACACTAAGTAATAATAATGATATAAAAAAGCTTATCGAGAATCAGGCCTACTTCTTAAAGATCTTACCATCATATTTAGACGTCCAATCACTGAATTGGCTTTAGATTTAAACACTTTAAGTAATAATAATGATATAAAAAAAGCTTATACAAAATTAGGCCTACTGCTTTATCTTACCATCACACCAAGACGTCCAATCACTGGATTGGCATTCGATTTAGACATTCTAAGTACTACCAAAAATTTGCTGATATCATTTTACAAAAAAAAAACTTTTTACCGACATCTATTTTAATAATGCCTATATTGCTATTTGATTAACAGAAGTTGTTGACAACAAATGAGAGAAACCAAAGTATCGAATATACATTTTCGTATTCCTCCATGGTATTTATTTTCATTTATCATTACCGGCTTTGAAAACAAGTACTTTTGGCCACTTTCAATTCTTCAGCCAATGGTATATTTTTGTAGGCCAATTTTATAAAATTCCAGAATGTATCAAACGGCGTCACGTCTGTCATTTAAGCTAGACATAGAACGATCTCGACTTCAATTACTTCTAATCAGGTACAATAGTTATCATTACATACCCAATCTAACTACGAGTTAAACCTGAATGCATGTGCACATGGGCTCGTTTTAATATATTCATGGACTGCGACTTTTTGCTTACTTCAATGTAAAGGCAACGCACTAGATTACTAGGAATATTATGATCATACAATAAATCTGATTATTCTTAGATTTAAATATTTATATTACTCGAACATGTTGCCAATAATTTTGGTACTAATAAGATATTTGTGTCATAGTGGCTAAGTGTTGTTCTGCATAACTTCCACAAGGTATTAGTTTCGATTTCCCGCTCCGGGCAACTAAATATCAAGCAGTAGTGAAAATATAGAGAATAAATGTATTTTTACTAAAAATAGAATAAGAGCGATTTGAAATGGCACTGAACAATCATCTGGTTTCTCTGGTTTCTCAGTTCACGGATCTGCCTTAGGGCAGAGTTCATCATCAAGATAAACTTATTGCTTGACTTTGAAAATAATATCAATTCTGAGTGAGTAATTTATGAGGTAAGATACGACGTTATGTGAAAGTTTCAAATATAAAACTTACGGTCGATAGTGGAAGTATTGACAATATAGGGAGAAGGATCAAATGTATCAAAATTGAAAACATAATGAAGATAAACTCTGAAATCTAAGCAAAGTGATAGAGCTTATCAAAATGTATATTTATAGACGTCCTTGTCGATATTGATTTATTTTTATAACTACGAACTGTTATTTTGTTGTACATCTCAATCTAGTGTACTTCTCAAAAGGGCAACCCAGTGGTCAACCAATCTCCTTTCGAGTGTAGACTATATATTAGATATGTATATCTAATGGTGATGGCATATATATGTTGCAGCAATGCTCAAAAAACGAATTTTACTTGAGATTCTAATAGAAATTTTTAACTACAAGTGTAAATTTGATATCATACTACTTGGTATAAAGCTGGCCGAGGTTGGGATCGAATCAGGAACTAGTTTGTGCTAGGCCAAGTTCCTAGCCACTTCACCACAATTGGCTCTATATTTTCTAATATCAATTAAAAAAATTTGCTTTTGGTAGTATCTCTACATTAAACGAATTAGGTATCAAATAATTTCATTCACATTAAACAAATTAGGTAATAGTAAACTAATTAGATTTTTTTCATACCACAGAAATATAAACAAAATTGCTTACAAAATCTAAAAACAATTATATATTATATAATTATATTTATAAATTTATTTATAAATAAGCAATGTTGCATGTCCAAGGTTTTTTCACATTTTAATTTCGTCTAATGGCATCAAATTATTTTTATTTCTATTTTAATCTCGATGTCATTCAAAAGTCGAAACGATCCGACTTAAATGATGGATCATTAAATTATTTACTTGGAGGCTTTCGTTGACTTCATCATAATTGCTACGATGCGAACTTGAAATTTGAATATAAACAAGTCAGTTTAAATCGTGAATTATTATTATATTGTTTGTTCGAAACAACCGTTAGTAAATTTGAGGTAATATATGAGACAAGTTGTAACTGAGAATAATTCGGGTAATTAGAAATTTTTATAATTAATATAACTTTCTGATATAGTTTATATTCTAATAATTTAGTATACATATATATATATATATATATATATGGTATATATATATATATTTGTTGTATACTAAAAAGGAGAATGATAACTTATAAATAAACTATTTTTAATTAGAATAAGGTAATTTTTGTTCTTAGAATGAATAAATTCCAAGAAACACTCACAAATAGTTCATTCCTAAAATTATTAAAAAAAACAATTAGTCAATTATTAAATTAGCATTTAAATTATTATTACGAGTTCGACTAACAAAACTACTTTTATTCACTACTTTGTTACGACATATGCAAATGAATAAGTTACAGTGTGCATTATTACGATGACATAATTCACTAAATTGTTATTTCTGTATACAAATAGAACAAATAAAAACTTGCCGGCAATAGAACAACCAGTTTGTAGCCTTATTGCACATTAGACAAATGTATTTATTGTGACCTCTGAGTAAAGAGAATGAGAATTTATAAGATATAAACCAGACATTGGTTATATTGTATATTTCATTTCATACCGGACGCATTTGCAGGACGCAAATTCAAAGGCCTACATTTTTTAACAAAATTCCTTATTGGTATATTTTTAATTTTCACGTTGAGTTATCTATTCGACAGGAATTTCATTCTAAGATTTTTTTACTTGATGAATAGAAGACTAATTAACAATTTTGTTTTCAATCACAGGCTCCTATTGTATTATGAATTATTACTACGACGTATATATATTTGTTATTAATGTCTTGTAGACACCATCTTCATTAATAATATTCATCTTCAAACAAGCTTCTATATAAGCAAAGTGATTGATTAAAGTTTAGATTTTCGAACAACTTCATTTAGATGGGAAGCACGTCTTTGTAAATTATTAGAAGGAACTTGTCTGCATAAAATCGAATAATATAAACGAAAATTTATTAAAATTATAATTTGTATTTTATTTTATATAGCCGATGATAATATAAATGTATATACATTCCGATACAGATATGTTTTTCTAAATAGGTGCAACTACATATATATGCTCCTCTGGCGATTATATGCAGATTTTTGATTTTTTTAAAATTTATCTACTTTGGCAATGTAATACCAATGACTATTCAGAGTGAATAATATATGAACTAGTGGGGTGTATGGCATCGTGCCTTAAGGCAAATTGCTGGAACTTCCCGTACCGTAACGACATGTTCAAGTAATATTAAATGCTTTCTAATAGATTATTATAAATAAATACTGTAACATTGCCTAATATTTATAAGAATTATATAAACTGAATTGCAAAGTTAAAATTATTTATCTAAAGTATATAAGTGAGCTTCAGAACTTTAGCCAGAATTAAAATTAAAATCTGAATTATTTTTGATATACCAAAAAAAAATGTTTCGGAAAATAAAATTATATAAACATTTTTTTCCCCAAAAACAATTGTTTTGCCAACACAAGCAGAATGTTCTCTGGATCATCCAAATCAAATACTCCGTTCTCTCAGAAAAACGGTATCTATTTCTGCACTTTTTCCTCCGTATCTCCGTAACGACTGGACCTGCCTTTGTCAAAAACTAATCAGCACATCTCCCTATCAATAGGAATCGCTTCCTTTTTAATTTTTTTAAAATGGTTAATCCATATGCCCAAAATCGTCGACGAAAAATTGCCTCCACACATACACACACAAATACATTTTTTCTGAGGTATGCCAAAATGTTCAGAAACCTCTGAAACGTGAAGATATGCAAAAATTCTCATTTTTGATTTTCGGCCCATTACTATAACTTACGCTACGGGAAATTGTATATTAAAAAAAATGTAAAACAATTTTTCTAAAACAAAACCAGAATGTTAGATACCCTATCTCGTAAAAGTTTATCTGCGTTAAAAAAAAAATAGGGCGCTTTATATATAAAGATATCTTACAATAAAGTTAATTATTATTATTATATTATTTAAAATGCCATCATTATTATTATTGCTAGTAGAAACTAGGCACACATAAATAACAAATGTAAAAGTACTGCAACTGTATTAAAACGATGCAGTCAAATTTTATTGTAAACCAAACTCGTTGAATTTGTTTAATCTAAAATTAATTAAAATTTTATGATAATTTTAATTCTGATTGAGAGAAAAGTTACAGTTAAGAAAATTAATGCAATACTGATAACAATCTATTAAAACTTGGTTATCCCAATTTCTTTGTCCGTTATATAAGTACTCCGGAATAAAACTACTTTAAGAGCCGAAACATGAAAATTTAAGTACAAAACTGAAAAATGGATATCTGTGAGTAAATCAAAAAGTGAAGATTTTGTTAACTTGATCTATATTTAATATATAACATTTATGGAATAATATATAATCAATCTATCATTCTTATGAAATTATATTTTAATAGAACGAAAATTAAGATACTATGAGAAATTTATTTAGTATTTAAGTAAATTTAAGCAAAAAAATGCTCGACAAGTAAAGTAGATTTACGATCGAAAGTTCACTTTCTTGATATATTATTGTAAATAATAGGCTACAATGAATTGTAGACAACATGTAGTATATCGTTTATTGCGAATGAAATAAAAGCACTCACCTATCATGAGGAAAGGCGCGGCCAAGTTGATTCCGATAAATTCAATGTCCAGGTACATGGACATTCCGAACGCGGCCAAAGTTGCCATTACGGCCGATACATTTCCCAACAAACCGAGCCAAGGCTTAGAACGGACCTGAAATATAATAAATGAGATAATTAGATTGTTTAATAATGAATAACATACCAACAAATAAAGAAACAACAGCCTGTTTTCATGCCAATTGTTTGGCAGAGAGGAAATTTTTAGGAATGCTTCTAACCCGCTTGAGGAAAGAACTTCCAAATAGCCTTCAACATCTATTACTAAAAAATTTATTATTTTCTACACAGTTTTGCTATGGATAATATATTTATGCATGAATTGTACATATGATAAGTTATATTTTTTAACATAGTAAGTATTAATTCTCATACGATAAATAAGAAAAACTTAAAGTGTCTCCGATTTTAGGAAGCTCAACCTTCTCAGTGATAAGGACAAATTCTCTAAAATATTTTAATTCTCTAAAAAGTGGTCATAAGATAATTTACTAACCTGATCCCCCATCATGCAAGTGATCGTTGAAAATAGAGCCATAATAGCAAAAGTAGATCCAAAATAAGGAACGACTGTGCGAGTATTTTTCTCAAGTTCATGATCAAGGGTACGTGATGCAAATCGAGCTACTGATATATGTTTAAAGTATCCATTTTCTTCAGCCTGTCCGACAGCATCCAGAAAAGCTTCTTCCCAGGCTGCACCCCTGGAAATAAAAAAGACAAAATGTTAGTAGATAAGATAATATTATTTGTAAAGTGAACTATTAGTATTAAAGTAAAAGCAAAATATTACAAGTAAAAATATATATTTGCTGGAATTGCTGAATCTATTTAACATAGTAATCGCCATGTCAGTCATATGTGTCTGACGCCGAGAAGATCTACACGAGTCATGACAGACATATGCGATTTGGTAAGAGGACAAAAAAAATTAAAATATAAGAAAAAAAAGTGCCAAAAAATGGCAAAAATTGTGCTTTTCTAAGAATGCTGTCAATTTTTTTTTCTTTGACACATTAGGTTTTCTTGATACATTTTTAACTAAATTATCTATTAAACTTATAATAACCCATGTGAAAATTCTTCTAATACTATTGTGACAATTAATATGTTAAATAATATATGTACCCTATTAGATTAATCACAATAATCAAAAATCTATTAAATATGCATAGGTTAACCGTTGTTTTTTTATTTATTTGTATATTATTTTCATATCTCAGTCAGGCAGGGGTGTCTGGTATGAGAGATTATGAAAACAAATTTCATATTTCATATTTAAATATCATTTGTCAACTTCATTATACAAAAATATGATATTTATTAATATTCAATCTTCAATTTCTCTATAATATTTATTTATTTTCCTTTTGAAATTATTGACGTCATTGGTATTCTTAATATCAATTGGCAGTTCATCATATTTTATCATTATTGTTATCCTAACCAATCTGTAACTTTTTTTTTAAATTACGAGTGTCTACAGTTACGAGTATTAAAAATACTTGGTTTGCAAAGTTATTATCTAAATACCTCACTTAGTTCATTTTTTCATGATTATTATACTATTTAAGATATCTTTACTACTTCACATGTACACAATATAATTTTCATATCTTGAAAAAAAAAATATAAAAAAATATTACGTACTTAAATAAATGCAAAAACACAAGAAGAATGCAAGAATGTATGCATATTTAAGTCAACTATGCAACTTCCGCAAAATTTAAAAAAAATCTTATCAGTTCTTTTTTTTTTTAAATTATTTACCATATTTAGATTTATATACCACTTTGCATTAGCACAATATAATTTTCATATCTTCGAAAAATATAATAGAAAATTACATCTTAAATGTATGCAAAAACACTTGTATTAAGCAAGAATGTTACATATTTAAGTCAAGTATGCAATTGTTGCAAATTAAAAAAAATCTTATCAGCTTAATGCTTACAAGCTTTAATTTATATGACTACACTTTATACATATTCATAATACTTAGTTGCTGACTTAGAATTTTTTAATTTTTAGTGATGTATATTATTTATAAAAAAAACCTGAAAAGATCAACTTGAATGCTTTCTTACTTCCTATTTTTTAAATAAATTAAAAATCATATCGTACTTATTTTTTTCAGATGTAAGAAATTTTCATATTAAATAGATCAGATCAAATAATTAGAAATCTTTTAAAAAATATTATAAAAAGTAATAATATTATAATAGTATTAAATCAGCAACAAAATGACAACTACATTTGGTGAATATTGATCATACTAATTTTAGGCTTTAGACCTTGTTAGAAAAAAATTCAACGACCACACTCAATGCATATATTCATCATTCTATTTTGAAGATTTCTACTAATTTTATGTTGGATTTTTATTGGATGTTTATGTGGATGAAATAGTGGAAATGAAATAAAAATGTTCATAGTGGAATTCATTCTGTAGAAACCCTATATATAAAGGACGTAATGTTATTAAAAAAAAATCATATAAATTAGCCAGCTTATTATTTTATCTATAAACGGTATGAAAGTTATCAAATCAACTACATCAGATCACATAATTATAAGTCTAAAAATATTATAAAAAAGCGCACATTAAAACAATTACCATTTTGTTAATTATCTGGAATTTAAATTTAGCAAGATAATAAAACAAAATTATTTTTATTGTGATATAAATAAATTTTTCTCTTACTTTGCATCCTGCCTCCTGGTGTCTGCAGCCACAAAATAAACCAATTGTAAAGAAGGAACTCTTCGGATGAGGCCTTCGTCATCAACTTCCGTCCCACCAAAGAACACCGGAAAAGCATGGGCATCCCAGGTCACTGGGTTGAACATTACTGGGAAAGTCAGATTTAGTGCTCCGGATTCCACCTGGAAAAGGAGAAAAAAATACATTAAATATATTTATCATCATATATTCCTTAGTGTTGGATACTAAATTCTTTAGGATACAGCACTGGCAAAGATGTCATTGAATTTGCTTATCAGAATTCTACCAAGGATTCTATCAAAGAATGATGGTGCTTAAATTGAGTAAAATAGGACTAGCTTCTTGATGTATAATACTTTTTTTTTAATTTGTGTATAATAATGAGAATATTTTTATGTAACTTTATTATTGGAGTATAATACTGTAACACTTAATATGATCATTTGCAATAAACAATAAATCGTTTAAAAAATAAACCATGCTAGTTATTTCGAAATTCGATGATAGAGCGTAATAGAATAAATAAGTAGGTAATTATTATTATTAATATTTGAATAAATTATAGGCTCTTTAATTTAAAAACGAACAAATGTTATTGATAAAAGCTCTAGTTTAAAGATTATACTTTGCCATTATACCAAAAAAAATAAAAATTAGTGAATCTCATACAGTAAGTTTAAATAGCTTTTGAAAAGTGATTTTTCTCCAACTTCAGTAGTCAGGATCAAATTCAATTAATAACCATAAGTTCGTTGACAATTTATCGAATAACATTAAAATTCTATATATGCGCATTTAATATAATAAATTCCAAGATTTTATTACCTAAATGACTCTACTCAATATAAACTGAAGCATTTAAACTGAATAATGACATGTGACAATTTTCTTCATTAAACTCTGAGTCACGTAGCAGTGGATTTGCTTATCAGAATTCTGATTCAGATTTGCAAACATGATTTAAAATTTGTAATAAATAATTCAATTGTTTAAAAAAATATACACGCGATATTATATAAATATTGAAACTTTTGTTGATGTACAATATTAGTGGGATAATGATTCCAAATACGTAATATAAATTATGTTTAGATCTAGTTCAATAGAGTGGTAGATAAATATATAATAACTGAGCTTTTTAATGGGACTGGAATTGTGTAAAATAATGAAGTTGCTAAAATGTGTAGTGAAACACGTCATTGAAATTTGCATAATTTCTTGGAATTGAACAATGAGATATCCTTCTTGTAAAAAACATACACTTGCCTAACATTAATGAAAATATATGGATTTAAGATTTTTAAAACTGTTGACATCAGGACCAAAATTTTTCAATCATTCATCAATAATTAGAACTTCTATAATAATTTTTGTAAGACCAAATGTGCAGCCAATTTTAAAGCATCTTCACAAATGAATTAGAGGTTGTTTTAGAATAATTAATTTAGATCGAACGAAATATTTGTTCGTGTTATTATTATTAAACAATCTACTTCTTATTTACTAGAAACTTGTTATCGCACATTTGTAATTTGGCATCTAAGAAATTTGACTGCTATTTTATTATTGAACGATAACAATAAAATAATGCTGAATAATTATAATCAATATTGAAAAACAACATAAACTTGATTGGATGTTATATTTTAAATACAAACTCCAAATACCATATAAATGGCAGTGTTAGTTGATGTAGGTAACAAAATTAATTTTAAATTAATAACAAATTATGAAATTCTAGATGATTTGATGAAACATGATAATTACATGCATAACTGGACTATAAAAAAATAAAAATGTTCAATTGCCAAAAAAAATATTAAAAAGTTCTGTATGAAATCATATGCACGAAGAGAATGTTAAATTATTTTACAATTCCACCATCAACTTCAAAGTCAATCAAATTCTATATAATAAAACAATATTGTTTTTTTAGAAATCTGAAATTTTACGACAGTTCATCGAATGAAATAAAAATCATTAATTGGTTCCATCTTAATTAAATTATGATGGACCTGACCTCCTGACCTAAACTGAAGTTCATAGTATCAAAATTTAGTCACGATTTTTGGTAAGTGTGAAACTAGTAACACATTTCAAATATAAAATAATTTATACAACTGAGATGAAATTTACTGATAAAGATTGTACTACGTGTTTGGATCTAAAAAAATATTGATAACTGACACATTTCTAAAAAAGTTAATCATAGAACTGAAAATTGGATATTCACAGACCAAAATTGCAAATTATTAAGAACCATGACATAGAGTTTATAATAAATATATTTGTAAACTTTAATAGAAGTAAATTGGTAGAAGAAACTACTAACAATTATTCCAAACATTCTGAATATATTATTAATTTACTCAAATTCAAATAAAAAATTTAGTTGAAAAATTTGGTGAAAATTATTTTGAAGAGCTTAATAAATTTGTATTACTAATTAATATTTTATTATTATTATACATGACAAAATTTTTAGATCTAAATATTCTCTCCAATTTCTCTAGATGTGTCAGCAATTTAATTAGCATATAAAAATCATCAATCGAACAAATACCATAGTTGCTAGAAATAACAATAATGATCATTACAAGTGATGGGAAAATTTTGGAAATTAACAACATGTTTGCATTTGTAGTTTGATTATATCGTGACAAGACAGTGCGATAAAATCTGAGCATTTAACATTGCTTTGTAGAAAGCGTTTTATTAGCAAACAAACAATTTTTATTACATCTAGATAAAAGATGAGAAAACAGGTTGTTGTTTTATAGTTTGATTATAGTTGAATCATCAAATCAATTGTACATATAAAGGACTTTTGGGTAATAATTTGAGAGGGATAAAGGAAAAATCTGGTGAAGAAAAATTTAATCAAGTAGTTCCAACTCGTTTAGTTTAGTATAATTTTATGATTAAACTAGTCGGGTGTACGGCATCGTGCATTAAGGCAAATTGCTGGAACTTCCCGTACCGTAACGAAATGTTCGAGGAATTCTGAATGTTTTAAAATAGATTATTATTAATATTGTAACATTGTCTAATATTTATAAGAATTATATAAACTGAATTGCAAAGTTGAAATTATTTGTTTAAAGTATATTAGAACTATATTCAGAATTGAAAATAAAATCTGAATTATTTTCGATATACAAAAAAAAAAATGAAAAAAAAAAATTGAACCAAAAAATTTTTCGAAAGTATCTTCGAAATGGCTGGGCTTGCCTTTGCCAAAAACTAATAAACACTTCTTCCAATTATTACTAATTGAATGTTTTTCACATCATTCAAATCGGACACTCCGTTCTCTCAAAAACTCGATTTCTATTTTCTGCACTCTTTGCTCCGTATCTCCGTAACGGCTGGACCTGCCTTTGCCAAAAACTAATCAGCTCTTTTCCCTATTAATAGGAATCGAATGTTTTTTGAACCATTCAAATCGGTTGATCCGTGCGCCCGAAAACGTGACTGGAAATTTGTATCCATACAAACATATACACACACATACACACAACACACATACACACACACATACACACACACACACATCCATTATTTCTGAGGTATGCCAAAATGTTCAGAAACCTTCAAAACGTCGAGAAATGTAAAAATTTTCAATTTCGATTTTCGGCCCATTACAATAACTTACCCTACGGGAAGTTAACTAGTGGGGCGCATGGCATCGTGCCTTAAGGCAAATTGCTGGAACTTCCCATACCAAAAATTATTTTTTTTAAAAAGATTAACATTTTGCAAAAAATTTTACTTTGAAAAAATTGGATTTTTAAAAAACTATAAATTTTTGAAGAAAAAAATTAGTTTTTTGGAAAAAAGGCTTTTTGAAAAAAAAAGTTTTTTTTATTCTAAAACATTTCGGAAGTTCTGAACTTTTTTCGAAGCAATCGTACTGCTTTAACTGCATAGAGAAGAAATATAGAAGCGCGTACGCGCTGCGTCGCCGTCTTAATGGATAAATATTGGTACGGAATCCATAGGAATGTAATCAAAATTTATACTTATTGTTAAAATCTCTATAAAATATCTGATAATTTTATGTGCATATTTCTAATGCACAAACTAATCAGCACGTCTCCTTATCAACAGCAATCGAATGTTTTTTGAATAATTGAAATCGGTTGAACCGTGTTCCCGAAATTGTCGACGAAAATTTGTATCCGCACACACACACATACATCCACTTTTTCTAATGTAAGCCAAAATGTTCAGAAACCTCTTCAACGTAAAGATGTATAAAAAATTTCATTGTCCATTTTTTTGCGATTACTATAACTTATCCTACGGGAAGGTAATAAAAATAGTAAAATCCATATATCATTTTACAATAAGTTACATCAATGTAAAATTTATCATGTGCTTCATAACTTTGCGAAAGAATGCCAGTTAAACATGACATGAACAGTGAGTCAAAAGTTCAAGAATCATGACCAATCTTCCTGAAAATGCGGAAGATCAGAGAGATGAAGGCAATTTTCTCCTACAATAAAAGTCAGCTGGCTTAAAACATGCAAAGCAAGCAACAATAATATAAAATTTTCGTATTAAGTAGTTGCTTATATAAGTAGGAATTTAAAAAAATGTTGTACCTTAATGCAATTCATTCAGATTGCAAATTGGAGTATTTTAGGAGAGTTCCAAAAATAATTGTGCAAGGAAATTTAAAACTCAACTTCAAAAATAGGCTTTCATTTCTCTTGTGCCATGAATTGTTACTAGTGTTCAAAAGGCATACATTGCAGTTGCAATCAATTCAAAGATAGCGGTTAAAATCTTTTACAAGTAATTCTATTTTATCACGAAAAAGCAACAACGGCGTAAGCAATGTCTTAGGAGAATTTCCGCATACATTAAGATGGAATCTACGCTAATTGATGGTAATGCCAGTGCAAGAGTTGCAACATTAGATCACATGCCTCTGGGTTTGGAAAACAGAACCGAACTTTAATTTGGAAGAAAAATATCAACTAGACCTCTAATACCAAGAAATCTAGTACATTGTACCAATGATTTGAATTTATTAATTTGCACACCATTACTAACGACTGCCATCAAACCATGTTCAAGTTACCTGCATTTTCCATACATTTCTAAAACGAATCCAAAATAACGAGTCTGACTATTACCATTAGAAGCGTCT